CCCCCCCACCCCCCCACCCCCCCCCCCCCCCCCCCCCATTAACCTCCTCGGTAGTCGCTTTCAAACAGATGTACAGTGTGCGCACACACACACACACACACACACACACACACTTTCTGCCTGCTGCACCATGGCCAACAGACCCAAATGGGAATCCATATTATTTATTGATTTCGGTGTGGGCATCCATCTCTCCCCCGTGTGTTTGTGTGCATCCGTTTGAGTTTTTCTGTTTATCATTTTTCACAACGGGCATGCGATAACCAGAGCAAAGGATGGAGAGACAATAACAAAGAATGAGAGAGGGAGGGAGAGAGAGGCTCATTTTGATCATAGCCCATCTGGTTCAGGCTGTACCTTATATTTTTCCCTCCCTCCAATAGGTTGGTAAAATAGAGGATGTTCTGGGCTTAGCCCCCCGCAGAGTACACTTCAGCACCATTTATTGGAGGAGGCTTAGGTAGCTGAGGGCGGCCGGAGAACAAAAAACAACAGAGGCAGTGTGGGGTGCGAGCGCAGAGCGGTGGGCGGCTCCATGTGCGCTGTTTGCATGGCTGTTTGGTGTGGGAGGGGGGGGGAGGAGGAGGCGGTGTACTAACAGGCCCATTTAAGTGCTGTTAATCCCGGTGTGCTGGGAGAGGGCTGGCACCGAGGTTTAATGGTGGGCTGCTGAGAAGGAGAGCGCTGCGGTTACACACAAACAACATGCCTGCCACCCACACACCGGGCACAAACACACAAACTAACACCGGCTTAGTGTGTATACACAAAGAGGAAACTCAGTTACATCTACAGGTAGACACAAAAAAGAACACTTCACCACACATTTCAAGACCGTGAAGTTACAGTGTTTCAGAGTGGAGCGGTGATGATGTCTTTTTGTAGGCCGACCCATAAATTAGCATCATAAAGGGCTCCCTCAACAAAACTCAATGGGATTTTTCCATTGGATTTAGGATAGTTTTTGAAAATAATCTGTGTAGCAAACACACATTTAAGATAGTTCTTTTAGCAGGATAATCTCCACATGTTATCACCACTTTGTGTTTATGACAAGGTCAATGCAATCGCGAGAAGTAAAAAGCTAACGTTTGGCTATAAACAAACTACATGACTTCCACATGACTTCACGTAACCATGCAGGACCGCCCCTCCCTACAGGCCGATCACGCAGACTGCGTGGGGCCTCACCTCGTAGAGGGTGCTTCATTTAGCGGAGGGAGCCTCATCTGAAGCGCAAATGCAGCGCGCCACAGTTTCGCCGCTGCGAGGCTCCACTAGCACCTCGTGAGCGTCGACGCTCACGACACAGAGGGCCTCATCATGTAACTTGCGTGGGGCCACAAGTTGGCCAGGGGCGGCCCTGTGACCATGGTTAAGCCAATAGGCGGCTAATGTTTTGCCTGATGACGTTTAGTCATCTCATTTAGTCACTTGTTAGCAACCGTGGTTTTTATGACACATGGCAGCTTTTGATATTCACAAATGGGGTATTTGCTGATTTACTTTATGAACAAAACCTAAAAGTCTCTTCAGCTTGTGTAAACCAAGACCTTATTTCAGGCTTTAACCAAAACACAATAAAAAAAAACCGTTGGTTTCCAGACAAGGGAACGGGAAGTGCTAGAATCCTGAGGAGTGTCCGGGCTCAGGACTCAGCATCGCTCCATACAGGAAGAGACGCCACCAACAGCTTTCCTTTTCATGATGGTTTTCTTTAGTTTATGTTTTGTAAATGTGCTTATCAGTTTCAACATTGTGAATACAGGCACATGTCCCCTCCATCCCTTCCTTTGTCTTTCTCAAGGGCACATTAGCACTTATTATTCAGGGACCAGGCCGCGTTGTCCCCCCCCCCTCCTTTCACTGCAGGTTTTAAATTGAAAATCAACTCAAACCTGCTTCTCCAAGCAGGTGTTCAGACTAATAATAGCACTGCATTAGAAAGGATATTCAGAGAGCTGCGTTGGCGTGTTGCTCCAAGTAGCAGCGAGGAGATGAAATATGATCCAGGAAGTCCAGTTTCAATAAAACATCTACTGTTTATCAGATGGCAAAATCACCGCCCAGTACTTTATAAAACTGGCACCATGTTAGCAATCATATTGTGTGGAAGAAGTACCCAGGTCATTTACTTACATTTACAAAAAGTCAATGGTTTCTTGAACACTTATGTGGTTAGAAGCCTGAAATAAGGTCTGTCACAAGCTGAACAGATTTTAACGTTTTGTTCTACGACTTAAAATATGTCAGTAAATATATATATATTTTTAAACGGTGGTTGCTAACGTTTAATTTGTCTAAATCAGACGACTAAACGTCATCACGCCTAACATTAGCCACCTTTAGCTTAGCAGTGTTGATGTGCAGCCATGTGACCGTGATGTAGTTCCTTTATAATGTTAGCTTGTTATTTCTTGTGATTGCATTTACACTTTAGAAATCCAAGAGTGGTGTTAATATGTGGAGATAATCATTTGTTTGCCACAGATTTCTTATTTCCCAATATTCTGAAATCCAACGGAAACGTCTCATTGCTTTTTGCAGAGGGAGCCCTTTGCGATGGTAACCTCTGGGTCTGCCTAAGAAACTGCGCCACTCTACGGACCCCTGTCATGAATCCTTGCTCTAATAATCCGTTGTCTACTTCCAACATCAAACAATGTTTCATTCCTTTTTTACCAGGCAAGATTATTCTCCAATTTGTCAGAGTGACACTTTAACTTTCCATGGCAGTGTTCCCGTCTGAGGATGAGTTGTTTTCAGTGCAGTGAGGAGCAGGGAACACCACAGCCTTTTCACACAGCAGCTGAGCACCTCTTGTTCTCCACACAGCGCTGATGCTCCATATTCACTCTCAAGTGTCACTGCCTGAGGAGCTCAAACACACCGTGTAATAGGACAAGACGTTCACCTCCAAGAGAGAAGGGAAGGAGCTGAGACAGGAGGGACAATCCTCCCTGCTAACTTCTCAAATGTTGTGGTCTGTGAGAAGCTCCGAATCACCCCACATGGAAGGAATATATATGAACCTCTATATTTTTAATATATGTTTAACATATGTTTAACATATATGTGACATATCTGAAATTGGACCCCTACATATATGTCTCTGAACATATATGTACATATATATCCATATATGTACATATATGCACACACATATATGGGTGCAGTGTATATGCACATATAGGTTGCACATATAGGTTTCACATAAATGCACATATATGTAAAACATATGTGCATAGAGTTTTTTCGTCGCCATTCAAGTAATTCTCTTCATGAAAATCTCGAACACAGTCAATCGGCAGAATGCTCCTAAGTCCCTTGTCACTACCTTCTGTCCACTCCACCAAGGCAAACGTGCACATGGTGACATTAATGTAATTTAATTTGTATGTTTGTTCTGTCTGTTGTGTTTTCCTGTATCCTCGAGCGGTTGGAATTTGAAAGAGCGGGCACTCTGGCAGCGCGTGCACATAAACAGGGGGATGATGTCATGAATGCGCGCTCGTTGTGAGTGGCGCTTTTCTATGACGTCACATTCTGCAGCGAATGTCTCTATTATTCTCTAATAATATAAAAAAACGTAAACAATTACAGGTAACATTTAGTGAAAACTTGTGGTTCAGATTATGTGTTTTTTTAACAATAATGTACAAATATTTAATAATTTAC